AAATGTTTTTTGTCCGCATTCCTTTCATAGACACATATCCAGCAGACGTACTGTAACCAAATAAAGATAGAGAAAAACTTTTTAATGAAAGTTGTTTAAAAAAATATGTTCTTTCAGAATATGAAAAAAAATAATGACTTTGTGAAAAAAATATTTTTTTTACGGCATTTCCACCATTTTGAAAAAATGGAAAGTCGAAAAATGTTTAAATACGAAAAAATATACCTTAAACACTGCCATTCAAATTCTGTCTTCGAAATTTGTATTTGCAATTTTCCTTTTCCTGTTATAAACCAAGGGCGGGAAGTTTGAATCACCCTGTACGTACTAGTTTTAAAATTGTAATTAAAAATGAATTTAATTTCAGCACCATCCTTAAAAATTAGTTCTTTGATAACTTGTGCTCGCTATTTATTAATTTCAACATAGAGGGTGGCCCATTAGTGGAAATAAGTCCAAATATCGTTTTATATAAATGTCGCATGGTTTATAAAGGCGCATATCCTAAAAATAATTTGTTGTACACCGGGTTCATATAAAAAAGTAAGGTTTTAAGTTTTGTTAAAGTAATGATAAGGTTTTAAGTTTTCTGTACAGAATTGGATTCAGCATAAAGTTCTGCATGCATAGTGCACTATTTTTATTTGAAGCACTATACGGTGATGCTTTTATTTCTTATTTACTGAAACTTTGGATAAAAGCACTACATCCGATTTACATTTACATTATCCTAATCCATGGTATGTATTAGGATAATGTAAAGTTGAATAATTGACTATTTATGGCGTCGCTAACATCGCAATATTTAATTATACCGGGTGCATCTCAAGTTACAGGGGTGAGTAACTTTTATTTTTTTTCACATAAAAGAACGAGATTTGGTATGTTAGTATATGACATAAATTAGGATTGATTGATGTATTCAATTGTTTTTGGTGACTTGCTGTTTCACCGGAAATGACTACAACTTTTGATTTTTAATAGCACCCTCGGTATTTTTTTACTTTATTCGATAGAAAATGACATTCTGAATAGAATGATATATATCATATGTCAACTTTTGACATTCGCGCTTAATAAAAAATCGTATTTTAAAATTCAATCTAGAGTGTCATGGCTATGTTAAAAAACACTAATTCATAAGGTTTATCACACATTAATCTTACAGCTTTAGAAATATTTTCGATTTTGTGAAAATGCAGTAACAATTTTAGTGCTTCATTTCTCTAGGCGTATTTAGGTTTCCAAATTTTTTTCCGTATTTTGGTTTTTCCAAATCAAACCAAATAATTATACTGAATTTTTTCTGTTTACTATATCTTGTGTTGCAGTAGTAAAAATGCTACTTATACAGAGTGTCTAAAAATTTATTTTAAATAATTACTAGTTTTTATTTTTAAACGGCAGTAATTTGTTTAATTTAAATGAAATACCCTGTATTTTTTACGTGCATCAGATGCATAATTTAATTGTCTGTCAATTTGTCATTGTATTATACCATTCTTTACCTATCTCTTCAAGTTTTCGTAGAAAATGTATATTCTTATAATTTAAACCTCATTTGTCAATCTACCCATGGAACATGGACTTTTTAGATATTTTTTAAAGCAGCAATTGTACAAATATACAGGTGCTAAAAACGATAATATTGCTAGCCCATCTGGTTACAAAAAGAAAACTGTTTAAATATTTGTAAAAGAGAGTGTACTAGTTAAATATACCAAGATTATTTCCGCCCAACGCCCAAATATTAATTAATTACATACTTTAGTTAGTTAAATTATCCTAAATAAATGTGGATTTGAATTAGAAATCAATAGTAATTAGTAATAAAATTAAGTTATGAATGTTTACATGAACTAAATTCACAATTTAATTGTCTACCAAATTGTACTAAACCATTTTTGCCTACCTCTTCAATTTTTTTACCAACCTCTTCAAATGCATTTTCATATAATGGAGACCTCAATAATATCAACTCATGGAATATTGACATTTTAGATTTTGTTTAAAAAGTAAAAAATTTACAAAATGTATAGATACTAAAACGATAATATTGCTAGCCCATTTGTTTACAAAAAGAGAGCTATTTAAATTTTTGTATAAGAATATACCAATTAAATATACCACCAATATATCCGCCTATTTTTTTACCACCCGTTTAATCGTAATTTTTAGGAAAACAGAAAATATAAAAAAAAAATAATTAAACAAAATATTGCCGTTTAAATCCGGTAATTCTTTAGAATATTTTTTTGACACTCTGTATAAGGTAATATTAGTTTTATTATTGCAATACAATATTTAGTAAATAGAAAAACTTCAATACAATATTTGCTTTTAAAAACTTAAATCCACCTAGAAAATTAAGCATTAAAATTGTTACTACATTTTAAATTTACATTTAATCGTAAATATTTCAAAAAGGGCAAGATCAAGTGCCTTAATCAAATTTATCTTTATTTTAATCGTAGAAACTAGGGACACAATAGATCTGTAAGGTCACAGTGATTAACCCCCCTCCCACTCACTATACAATCGTAGAAACTATGAATGTGATAATATACAGGGCGTTCTATTTTAAAAAATACAACTTTGATATATTTTATTCATTTGGGCCACTCTGTACCTTTTGAAAATAAATTTAAATTGTAGCTCTCTTTTAAAGATCCCCAACGATCCCATAATTCACAATTTCTAAAAATCTAATCATTTAACTACAATACCCCTGTGAACAACCCTGTATATTATATTAATTATTAAAAATTATAAATTTCTCAGAAACTTATTTTTTTAAATTCCCTTTTTTATAAATCAATTTGACTTTCTACATTTTTCCTTTTAAAAATGCATTTTTTACTAAGTTTTAAAAGATAAATAAATCTATAACAAGGTCTACTGGGTGCATCTCGAAAGTGGCTCCCCCCAATAACTTTTTTATTTGTTCAAATAAAAAAACGAAATTTGGTATGTTAGTACATGACATAAATTAGGATTGATTGACCTGTTTCACCGGAAATGACTACAACTTTTGATTTTTAAACGGCACCTTCGGTATACAGGGTGCTACCAATCCGAGGTACGAGCATTGGTATTTTGGTAAGCGTAATAGATACGAACATGGTTAAATTCGGGCAAAATTGCGCTTTGGGATGTTCACCAAGATGGCATCAAAAAAGTTTTAAAAATTTTAAAGGATTACTGGTTTTTTTGGAAAAAAACGGATTTTTTTGAAAATGAATTTTATTTTTTTCTGTCGTTACTTTTAAGAAAATGAAAAAAATTATTGCATATTCTCATAGCCACTTTATTTTCACAACTAATTTCAAGTCCGGCTCTGTTTTTTTTTAATTTTTAATATATTCATCGTTACAATATTGATAAGCTTTCAAACTTAACAACGACGTGGGATAAATATTGAATATTGAAAATCAAATGGAATAAAATAATAAAAAATAATATACAAATGAATACATTACTTCACGTCATTTGTAAAAGTGAAATCAATACATCTCAACATTTACAATAAAGAGTACAAAATGCTTTCGGAAGTATAAGAAGAAAGTTCAAAGAGCTATAAATAAAATTGAACGAAAAATAAATTTGTGCAATAGGGAGGGTGGTAACCGGTAACCTTTCGAAGAGCATTAGAAAGTAGTTTGTAGAAGTTTATTTATTTATAATAACTACGATGAATATTACGCATATTATTAGATCGCACACTGAGATTTCAAATTCACAATAAAAAAAATTAAAAATAATATCTTTAAATTGCTGACCTGGATATAATTTATTTGAATCTTCCAAATGGCTCGATTTTCCTTATTCAATGTTAATTAGCGCTGATCAATATTGTTGCGATGAACATAATCAAATTAAATAAAAAAAACAGAGTGGGACGGAAATTATTTTAAATAATAATTAAATATTTTTTTTGTTGTTAAGGTACCCAAAACAAAAAAAAGGATAAAGTGTGGCATATCATTGTACTCAGGAGACCGAGATCTCTCAAAACCGGAAATAAAAAATGCAGGTCCGTATTTAAAAAAATTAAGTTGGCCACTGTATCTCACAAATTATCAGCTAATTTGAAAATCTAAAAATACTGTCAGATAGCCCTAACAAAGTGGCTATGAGAATGTGCAATTAGTTTTTTGATTTTCTTAAAAGTAACGACAGAAAAAAATAAAGTTGATTTTCAAAAAAATCCGTTTTTTCCAAAAAACTCAGCCATCCTTGAAATTTTTCAAATTTTTTTGATGGCATCTCGGCGAACATCCCAAAGCGCAACTTTGCCCCAATTTAACCATGTTCGTAGCTATTACGGTTACCGAGATACCAATGCTCGTACCTCGAATTTGTAGCACCCTGTATTTCTACTTTATTCAATAGAAAATGATACTCTGGATAGAATGACATATCATATGTCAACTTTTGACATTCTCGCTTAAAAAACACTAATTTTTAATCAAGGAGCCTTGGAAAAATAGTTTTGATCATCTAATGTTTTTCGTGTCTTGTCCTGGCGGTTAAAAGATGCCCAAGTTGTATTTTTAACCATACCTCAATTTTTTCAAATGGAACAAGGGTGGCTCATTAGCATATTTGGAAAAAACATTTTTTTACGAATAATTTGATGCCACGTACTTGGTATTTCGAGTCAAATTGTCGTTATGAACCGCATGTTAAAATTTCAAATAAACCATAATATGTGAAAATGTCAAAAGTTGATATATGACATGTCATTCTATTGAGAGTGTCATTTTCTATCGAATAAAGTAGAAAAATACAGAGGGTGTAATTTAAAAATCAAAAGTTGTAGTCATTTCCGGTGAAACAGGAAGTGACCAAAAACAATTGAATACGTCAATCAATCCTAATTTATGTCATATACTAAGATACCAAATTTCGTTTTTTTATCTAAAAAAGTTATAAGGGTGAGCCACTTTTGAGACGCACCCGGTGTAACCCCTATTTTAATATTGACTTTATTTTATCAGCGGGGATAAAAATATGCGATTCAGAAGCCCCTAGTGGATCCACCACGAGTATCCAGAGTTGCTACGAAGCTGATGAAAGCTACGAAGAAAACTCTGAGAAGAAACAAAAGTGTAATCTGACCAGAACAGAAACATTTACCGTTTCTAGATCGTCTGGAAAACCTATACCATCTCGGAACAAGAAAATTTTATCGGAAATCAGAGACATTTTGTCGGAGAGCGATAATGATTACGATTCAGTTTTTCCAAATGGCAGACTTCATGATGTAGAATCATACCAGACAAGCTCTCCCAGAATTATTGGAGCTATTAGGAAAAAGCCGATTGCGAAGAATCATATTCAACATTCTCCATCGATTATTAACAGAAATGTTGTCGTTCCAAAGAAGGTCATGTTGTGTAAAAATAAAAAAGTAGCGGAAGTTTTCGAAAAATACGAAGATCGCTACAACACCCTCTTAAGAAAGCTTCAAAAGACGCATTTTACGAGAGTTGACAAACATTATATAAACGTCATTGAAGAGATGAAACGTTCGTTTGCTACTAAAAGCAACGAAGACGTTCCAGAATTTCTTTCGGAAGAATCAGATGATGATATGATGTATCCAAGATACGACAGTGATGAGGGGTACGGTGAAATCAATAAAACTTTTGATCGCAGCGAGCATTTCGTCACCGCATCAGAGACTGAAATGGTGCAATCAACAAACTCTTTTGATCAAGCGGAGCATTTCGTCACCGCATCAGAGACATTTTCCATTCAAGTCGAATCCAACGATGATACCATAGGCATCACTTATCAACCACAACCGCAGTATAATAAAATAAACGAGGTAAGTCTAGTGATATACAATTTCCGAATAAACCACAACAAAGTGTGCTAATGATCTTACATTCAGAAATATCACTAATAATATTTTTTTTTCAAATGTCACAAAAGTATTAATTTTTGTAACGTGATTGACAATATAAAAAAGTCATTTTAAAGCCTAGGCATAAAAGTAAAGCAATTTTAAGCCTAAGCCTCTGCTCTAAGCATAAAAGTACAAAAACACAACGAAGGTATAGTTCATATCAAATAAACTTTTAGACACGTGATTAAATTTGACCGGCACAGCGTTGCCCACTTTTACATATTTTCTTTTAATCAAAATATTTTAGGAAACGAAAATAAATTAATTATAAATACAGGGTGTTTCAAAAATGCGAAAAACTTCAGGGAGTGATTCTTTGTTCAAAATAAAGGGTAGTTTGGTAGTATAAACGTTGGGTCAAAAGCCAACCATTAGGGAGATATCGCCGTACAAAGATGGCCGATAAATAATGTTTTTATTTTTTATTTTGAAAACGAAAAGCGATAGACTAATGAAATTTTATGGAAGCATTACTGTTATGAATACACACTTTCTGGTAATTTTTTCACTTTTTTAAAATGAGTGAAAGAGGTTGAAATAAACTACCCCTATCATTCTTGTTAACGAAATTTAAAGAAAAATCTTTTCAAACACTTTAGTTAGAAAAGAGTTAGAGGTTAGAAACTTTTTTATCTCTTGTGTTTTTTGATAAAACTCACCGATTTGAAATAAAAAAAAATGTAAAGCATTACATGTCAGGACCAAAAAACATTTTAGATAAAGAATCTAGTGGGGTGCTGTCATTTTTTTAGGAAAAAATCTAGTCGGCCGCTGTCACTTTTTAGGATGTTTCTAATATTATTTCATTTGACATTACTCTACTGCAATACGTTATCTTATGCATTATTTTTCCGCCATCTTTGTACCGCGATATCTCCCTAATGGTTGACTTTTGACCCAACGTTTATAAAGCAAACTACTTTTTATTTTGAACAAGGAATCACCCCCTGAAGTTTTTCGCATTTGTTTTGAAACAGCCTGTATATAAACAGTATTATTTATATCAACAAAACTCACCTTCTTAACAGCGCTTAAGGGACATAAAGGACCATTACTATCGCTTTCCCGTTCAAATATTATCATAAAGTTGCGATGAGTTTTTTACGGCTAAAAGAGGTTCTAAAAAGAACAATGTTCGACTGCAAGGTCTGCTAGTAAACATTTTTAAGCTTAAAGTGTCACAACACTATTTATTTACACCAAAAACTCGTAATACAAAACTAAAGTGTCAAAACGAATGACAATGTCAGAAATTAAATAAATAAATGTGGCAACTTCGCATTTTTTACAGCAGAGCTACCACCTGAATCCCCAGCGGGAAATTTAAATTCCAGTAAGGGTACCTACATAGTGAATGGCTGGCGCTGAATATGTCCATGGTTGGCAACAATGAATTTAAAAATCGCGCCCTCGATTACGTAACTAAAAGTTTAATTGATATCAAATATAGTAATTATTAAACTGACCTAAAGTATCAAATTTTAATTAAAAAAATAATAATTAAAAAAAGGTACGCTTATTTATAAGCGTAACCACAGTTTCTCGATAAATTTCCATTTTTTTTTCAAAAAATTCCAAATTTTCAAAAAAAAATTGCGAAAAAAACCTCATAACCGTGTTTCTGGGGTCGAAATATTCTACGCCTAAAAATATTTGCACTTAAGACTCACCCTGTATAATTACTTACAAGGTATAAGGTATTACTTAAATCTTTTTATATTATTTGGAACGTTTGAAATTGTTTTAAAAATTATTTGTGGCGTTTGAAAAAATAGCATGTTCTTTCTATTCTGATTAAAAATGACTTTTTGTGCCTGGTCTGTATGTCGTACACAGTGGCGGATACAGAGGGGGGGCCCATGGGGCCCGGGCCCCTCCTAAGATCTATAAATTGGGTTAAATATTAATCTTTCGGGTTAAAAATGGCGCACTAATAAGCATATTCTACATTACTTTTTTATTTGGACCCCCCCTAAAATAAATTTCTGTATCCGCCCCTGGTCGTACAAACGTACAGCCTCGCCAAAAGAAGTGTCATTTTTACTCCTAATAAAACAATACTATTTTTATTATTTTGCAGGCTACGATCCGCTATGTTTCGAGTATCATGACCGAAAATGAAGGCAATGAAACGCAAGTGTCTGCCTACGATGAACAAAAGTTTCTTTTTGTGGCCATTGGGGATGAACTAAAAAGGGGCTCTACAGAGGTAAATGCATAAAATATATGTTTATTCAATATTCTTCTAAGAAATTACACATAGCTATTCTAGTGAAATACAGGGTGTTTCAAAAAACGTGTCATATCTCGTGGGAAGATTCCTCCCGTAAAAATAAGATTTTTTTTTATATCAACATGGGTCTGACTCTGCTTTGTTTCGTAACTACAGGAGGTTAAAGTCTTCATTTTTTTTTTCGATTTATTATAATTTTCTTTTTTCTTCCAAGTGCTTTTATCTATTCGAATGAAATTCGAAGGGTAAGAGTTACTATCTACATATTTTAATTCTAAAAAAGTTTCGACAGATTTACCAGGGACGTGCATATGGGTTATCACTAGAATATTTTTCTAGAAAAAGATGTGCGCCACTGACTATTTTCCTCTTATTAGCAAAAGTGTGTAGGTCAGTTTATGCCTATTAAATTTGTATCTTTATATTTTTTAGCAGTGAAAATAAAATAAGTAGAAGAAAAATAGATAAATACTACACTTAAAGTTTATCTTCAATAGTTTTGAGAATTAAAATAGGATCCTTTCATTCAGCAGCGTAGTGTGGCGTCAATACAAGGGGATGTAATAAATAACGGCAATTAACATTTTACCAACACAATAAAGTTTTTTCTTTTTTTTATTAAAGTTTTCAATTTTAAAGTTACAAAAATAAAATATACAAAAAAGGTAACAGGTTAAAAAAATAAAATCAAACCAATTTAAAAAAAGAACCAAATTTAGTTAAAAGAAATAAAACTCTGTGAACGTATCTATTAGATAAAATAGACAAGGCCAACAAAAAAATTTATTGAGTGCCCATAACGAGTATTAATATTCAAAATATAATTTGGAGGTCATTCTTCAATAGTTCTTAATTTTTCTGTACAATACGCCATATGAATTGAAGGATGATTGCAAAATTATTTCTATTTTACAGCCGCACTAAGAATCAACCATCGCGACGCGCGACGATATTTTTTAATTTATACGGCGAACGAAATGTGTTTGAAACACGGCATCACCCACTGAATAAAACAGTGAACAGGAGACGTAATCGTGGCGGGAAAGATCGCTGACCCCGGCTCTCGTTCGGCGGCGTTCAAGATGTAACGAGGTACAGACGCATCACCGCGCTGTCGAGTTATTTTTACTTTTAGCGTTTAACATAGGCATTATCTATAAGGCTCGACCAATATACACATGAAATAATTGAAATTGAATTTAATTATTTGAATAAATTTACTGAGAATTTTAATTTATTATAGGAGATCTCAGTGACTTATTTTTAAATAAAAACGTATTACAATATTTTGAGGGGATACGAGACATCACCCGCATCAATGGAAGTTTCGCCGCTTTTATTATTGTTTTAGCAATGCACATTACTTACATTATTTTATAAATAAGATATTTTATGGATATTAGATATTTTAATATAGCTTCTATTTTCTATTTCAGGATTACGTTTATCCACATACCACTAGCGTAAACAGCAATGATATATCCGAGTTGATATCGTCAACATCATCAACGATGAAGTTGTCCGAGACTAACCCAACAGAGATTTTAAAACGTGTTCTTCAGAGCACTGAATCTTTATTCGGTGTCTTTGAAAATAATTCAGGTGGATCGTATGAACGCCTTACAAATGTCGGCGAAGAAGCTTTCTATGATAATATCAGAAAAAATTTGAAGAAACGGGTCTACATTGAGGACAATATAGCAAACCAACTGCTGGGTTTCCTGGAATTTGCCAGATCAAAAATTGACAACTTTATCGGCAGCGGCGCACATTTTGAAGCTGAAAAACTCTTAACTGTATCAAGTAAGTTGAAAAAATAATATAACTCTTTGCACATACTTTATGTTTACTCTTCCAATAGCATTATTAAAAAAAATTTCAATACCTAAACTAAAATATTCACAAGATACTCTTGAAACTTACAAATAATGTCTGTCCACCGAGAGGACACTTGACAGTTACAGTTGTTGTTTATCATTTTAATTTTACAGGCAAATTGTGTAAATTAAAATAAATCGAAAACTTCCCCGATTCGTTGGGTGGGCTTTACAACTAATATTATAAAAAGTAATCTGATTTTGCAGGCATTAAAATTATTTTAGTAAGCTTTCTACAGATAAATTTGTCACTGTCAGGGATCCTTCCGTTGGACAGACCATAATTATTTTATTTGGTGGTCTGATACTTGATAGCTTTACTCAGCTTAACTCAGCTATTTTCTTTTGCAGATATACGCCGACAAGCTCTATTAGATCTGGTGGTCTCACCATATTCACCAACCAATCACGTCCGAGCACAAATCACTATACAGAACACCAGGTGCATCATCAACAGCAAAAATCTAATTGACAACGCTCTCGTCTCAAACTACCTCCTAGTTTTCAGCTACAAAGACACAATCTACGGGACGAAATTTATATCGCCCAACAAGCTAGGATGGATTGACTTTGGAGGTCCTTTTGTATTCGGTAATGTTCCTAACACGTTCGAGATAAAAGCGAAACTATTCGCCATCATATTCAACCCACATTCTCTGAAACGTTCCATTAAAAACTTCTTTTTGAGTCGCCTACCAAAACTACCCATGATCAGGCTCATAGGGGAAACTTACATTGACCTAAACAACGCCATCAACCAGAAATTTACCTTCAAAAATCTAAACAGCAGTAAATACAGGCCAAACAGACTCACTGCTTCGGTTGCAATCAGCATACAATGGCCCGAACCGCTTAAAGCATTCTTAACCATGGGTTCAGAAAGGCCTGGAAAACAGGTTCTGTGGAATCGTAGATGGTTCGTTCTGGAAAAATCCCAGTTGTGCTATTACACTCACCCATCTGATGAAAATTATTGCAGTGCCAGAGCAACAATCGATTTGTCAGAGTGTACATTCTGTGATGAAATCAATAAATTATACCCCAACAAGAGATCTCTTGTACTAGTATTAGGACACGAGAATCCGAAAAAGATATACGTCACTCCAGATACAGAGGACGAACTAAGAATCTGGCAAGAAAGGATTAATTTGGTCTTAAAATGTCTTAAAAACTGGAACATTGAAAAACTCTAATTTGTCTATTGTTTAATGGATGGATTGGCTATTGTTTCACGTGTGGATGGATTATTTATTTTCTTAATGTACATAGGATTTTCGAAACTAATATAGTAAAATATTTTATTTGATGATGAACAAGTGTTAAAATATTTGCTATGTCAATTCACTTTTTAGTTAATTTTTGTATGTTACTATTTACTGCTATGACGGATTGAGATTGATGGATACTTTGGAATTCAATAATGTTCCTAATACGTTCAGGATAAAAGCAGAACTCTTCACCATCATATTCAACACACATTCTCTGTAAATTTCTATCAAAAACTTCTTTTTTTTGGTTGGCTACCCAAAACTACCCATGATCAGGCTCATTGGGGAAACTTACATTAACTTAAACAACGCCAGCAAATAAAGGCCCAACAGACACACTGCTTCGGTGGAAATCAGCATACAATGGCCGAACTGCTTAAAGCATTCTTAACCATGGGTTCAGAAAGACCTGAAAAACAGGTTCTGTGAAATCGTAGATAGTTTGTTCTCGAAAAATTCAAATTGTGCGATTACACTCATCCATCTCAACAAAGTTATACCCCAACAAACTCTTGTACTAGTAGGTATTATTACATGAAAAACTGAAAAAGATATATGTCACTCCAGATACAGACTTTGAACTAAAAATCTGACAAGAAAAGATTAACTTAACAAAAGTCTAGTTTCAATATTATATTTCATGATAATTAACTTAAAATGTTTACTATGCTAATTCAGTTGTTATTTAATTCTTGTAGGTAACTGTTTATTATTCTATTATATGAAATTCCTTGTTATTTAAATAAATTAACTTAAAAATAGTTAAAGTGTTTAATTTACTTATATATTTTTCATTAAACATTTATAAACATATATATAATAAAACAATCATAAAAATAATAATACATACAAATTATGTCCTTTGCACTTGTATATGAAATTTACAGGAAGGCAAACTTTGTACCTCAGCGGTGACCAAACACTGAATATTCAGATTTGCCAAGCTGCCTCTAATTACACCACATGTAAAAGTAACATATCTTGGAGCCACTTCTAAATACTGTTTTCCATTGGAGAGTCGGCTCAGAAATCTAAATACATTATCTTGCAAAACATAAACGCCTTGGTGGTTGGTCCTTAAATTATCTATTTGTTTCTTATACACGGCCGACCAGAAGTCAGTACATATAAATTTCATTGTGTCTAATTCATCTTTGAAACGAGGCATTTCTTTAGTCAACCTAAAAAGTTCTTAATTATTTTTAGGAACCCAAAAAAAGGTGCATTTTACCTTTCAATAATTCTATATCCAGTAGAAAATCCAATGTATTCAAGAGTAGACAAATCTTCATCCTAAAAAGGCTCAAATTTATCGACGTAAACTTATTTGTGTATATTTTGAGCGCACCTTCATGTTATCATTGTTTCCCACTACATATTGAACAATTTCGGAATGTAACAAATCGAGAAGTATATCATCGGCCATGGTTCATAAATCGGAACCTATAATTGATTATAGAGATATCAAAACCATTAAAAATTGATAATCTGTTCAAAGCACTGTAAAAATAACATAAAAACTTAAATATGACTTAAAAAATGATGCTCTTGCACTGCAGAAATAGTTTTTGTTGCCTATGCCAGACCTATGCCCTATGGCCCTTGTTTTTAATAGTTTACTTTTTTTATTTATTCCGTTGAAGACCAGGAAAGTGGAAAGCACAGGTGGAAAGTGATCATGGAAAGTGATGGATAATGCCCACAGATTAATGGAGGATTAATGGGAAATGGGAACCAGAGATATAATAGACTAAATCTATATCTCTGGTAACAAACCACTCAAACCAGGATCAACAGGAGCTGTGTCAGGGTCAGGTCAGGGTCATGTGTCAGGATCAGGATCATTGTCAGGATCGATATCGATGGCAGAGTCGATATGGAGTCGATGGCTTTTCTAATTAATGAGTCTGGTAATTACGGTGAATATTTTTATTATTTTGGTAATGGTGTGGATCCTGTGGCTGACCTTGAAACGAGTTTCTGCTGCATATAGTCACAGACACTACGCATGCGCACATCTTCGATGTTGCCAGATTGTAAGTTATTTTGGAATTATTTTCAGTAGAAAACAAATATGTGCTTTTCAGTGTTTTTTGTCAATATATACCGTATGATCGAAAAAACGGCGTCCAGTTGGCTGGGAAATGACGATTGAGGACATTTCCCATATAAAATGACAGCGATCTTCATTTCGTAGTCATCGCTGACGCTATTTTTTTTTTCAATCATAGTACGCGATATATTATTTATATCAAGGATTTATATTATTATTTTAATATTTCGCACAACACGTGAACGCTTATTATGTATTTTCATAGTCAATAAAATTAAATAGAAATAAAACTCTAGATTCCTATAATTAATCTAATTGCTCTAGATTATTATGCTACGTAAACGTTTTAAAAAAAGGGCTTTATTAAAAATTCGGGAAATTCGTAGCTGCATGTCATGTTCATAATAGGTTTTCTGCTACTTTAAGATTTCTCTATTCTTACGCCTAATTTATGTGATTTTCTTAGCTATAATGTGATTTATAAACCATATTTTTCGTAATGGAAGGATGGAATAGGATATGCAAAATTAAGATATTTTAACATTTATTTTCCAGACAAAGCATAATATAGTATTAAGATTAAGACATAATAAATATTATAAGAAAGATCTTAATATAAATCACAAACTAAGTCTTAATTTGGTCTTGTATAAACACAGGTATAAAACTAATAAGATCAAAAAACTCAACCTTCACCATATTGTCAAGATTTGGCATTATAGGAAACAAGAAATTGCAGTAAATTAAGAAAAGAATATCAAAGTACACGATATTAAATACTGTAATGTATTCTACGACACAAACCATCTCCCTTCTAAAGAGAAAAAGATAAAACATAAAGCTTATTTTAGTTTTATCAACACTCTTCGATAAAATATATGTCTAAAATTGCTATTAATCCACTAACTTGATATTTTTAAGAAATTATATGATACAAACATTACAATCAAAGTATATTATATTAGTAACATTATAGGTAAAATATGTTACCTCTATCTCCCATTGACGTTTATTGTTCTATAAGACTCGTCATGGTAATATCTGTGGTAATATTTCAAAACATCAATATACATATAATGAAAACAATTGTTGCCTGTAAATAACTAGAAATTAAATAACTTGAAAGAAATAAAATTATTCTAATAAGTTTAAAACCATTAAGAAAAAATCCGTAAATGATAATTTTTAATTCTAATGTAAATATATAAATAAATGTTATTATTATTCAACCACTTCCATATCTCTGTTATTATTACGTACAATTTTATATATTCACAATACTTTCATTTCACAATCTTCATTATCCTTCTTACCTTAATTTTGGATATCAAGATAAATCTGAAATTATAAAATTAATTATAGAATTTGTATTATTATTGATTAACACTGAAAAAAAAAAATTAAACTGCAAATAATTCGAAAGTAAACTGCAATTTGGCAACATCGACGATGTGCGCTTGCGTAGTATCGATGATCAAATGCAGCAAATATGGCATTCAAGGTCAGCCACCGGATCCACACCTTTACCCTGGATTACCATTATTTTCAATCCTGTTAAATCATGGTTAAAAAATAGCAAATTTAACAGAAAGAAAAAGATAGGAAAGTGTAAAAGATAAGTTTTATCATATATAAATTAATTAAAATCATACATAATATGTAAAATTATTTTCAATTTTTTTGACTTTTGACAACTCGGTTCGATAAGGTTAACTTTGGTGTCAGTTCCAGTCAGTTCAAAGTGGTTCTAATATATCTTTATAATTTTTTTGGATTAGAATTTATTAGTTTCATTTAAAAAAAGTAACAATTGCATAAAATCATTTAAAGTGAGAAAACTCGTAAATGAAAAGAGAGTCCTTAGTATTAGTAGATTTAGTATAATATATATTCATTATTTATTTATGAGAGTCATAAGGCAAATATTTATTTACATTCCGTTTAAAAATCTATTTTTAGTGCAGAAGAATCAGTTTTTGTGTCTGAAAGTTTTCAGTTTTTATTCAACGTCTAGGTATTCTGTAGGTATTCGAGAAATTCCATAACTATTGAGTAAACAGTGAAATCTATTTGATTATTCTTCTGGAATTCCAACCATAAATTCCAATATTTTTTTCATAATTTGCAATCAGCTGTTTGGGATTTGGACGTGGCTCCATCTCGTCAGATAAGGAATAGATAGCGATTAAATGCCTCAGAGCCGCATGTCAAATACAAAACGACTAGTACTTAAATCGCAAAAATTTGAAAAATGAACGCACATTCAGACGCGTTGCGTCCCTCTTGTATAGTTTGCGGATTTAGTGATAATTTATTGCGATGTGCTCGTTGTAAAGTTACCCTATATTGCTCCAAAGAACATCAGAAAAAAGACTGGAAAAAACACAAGGTGAACTGCAATAATTTCACCACCAATTCTGGTAGTGTACCTAGTAGTAGCACAGGTACTAGTAGTGCTAGTGCCTCAGTTGAACAGAAATATGGTCATACATATCACAGCAATAATTTATCATCTCTACCAGTTGAGGGTAGTTCAGAAAGTGAAATATTAAGTGCTGCTGGAGAGACTTTAACTCCAATAAATAATAATTTTGAAGAGAAAAGTTCAACTGAAAAAGCATTAATAAGTGTAAAACTAGCCATGCCAATAGCCAGTGAAAATATTGTTCAGCCAAAACCTAAGGGATTGAAATATTACCCAGAGGTAGCTCTTAATAACAGTACTGCTCCTTTCCTACATGATATTCAAGACGATGTACAAGAAGAAATGTGCAAAAATGTAATACAGGACTTAAGCCAGTATGGTTTATGTGTCTTAGACAATTTCCTTGGTTCTGAATTAGGTGGTAAAGTACTTGAAGAAGTACTACACATTAAAAATGAAGGAGCCTTAAGAGACGGCCAGTTAGTTTCAACTAAGGGAAAGGCCCAAAAAGACTTAAAAACTATAAGAAGTGATAAAATTTGTTGGGTTGATGGTAAAGAACACAACTGCAAACATATAGGCTATCTAATAAGAAAAGTGGATACTCTAATAACTAGGGCTAATAAAATGTTAAACAATGGAAAACTAGGACAATACAACATCAATGGAAGGACAAAAGTAAGTACCTTTTTTATACTGTGTTTACTTATCAGAGTCAATTTATAATTATAATTCTTAAAACTTTTCAAGTCATGCAATAAGTAGGTAACGCCAAAATATTTACTGGTTTTTCCAAAGATTAAGAATATAATTATTAATTCTTAACTTTTTAACTGAATAAATAATTTATGTTTACAAACATTGTTAAGTATTCTCAGAAGTGAGATATTGCTTATACAGAGTGTCTCTAAACATTTCTGTTATGTATTGAATGTAATTTTTAAATTGAAATAAAATTAATCTTTTTAAGTAATTTCTCAATTGTTTGCGTAATTTTGTAAATATTTAGTCATTGATTTTTATACGCACAATAATATATTGTCTTGATTGCCAATGTTATTATAACGTTTTTAATTTTTTTAACATATCAGTCCATTTCCCAATACAGCTAAATAACGATTTGTTTTCTATTTATACTTTTCAAACACGATTTCTATTTTACCATATTCGTTCACAAAAAAGCGATTAATTAAAATCGATATCGCATTCAGGCTTGGCGGCACGTTTACAGCCATTTCCACTCTGTATATTTTTATATCTGTTTGCCAACTTTGACTCCGCCCACATGTTCATCTTTCATTTCGCTTTCTCTCGTTGCCAAAACGTCACCGATTTGATCGTTTGTTCAAGGGCATGTGAGGCCGGTCACGTACGCCTAGATAATTTTTATACCAGGGATGATCATTTATTCAATAATCAGGTTTTTAGCAATGTAAGAACAATAGATATTCATTAGTACACATATTAGTGACGATTTCATTGATCTTAATTTTATTCGTAAAATTAAATATTACAGGTTATACTTAAAAACCAATTTACCCGTTGCATATACCTTATGATCGAATAAAAACGGCGTCAGCGATGGCTATGAAATGAAGATCGCTGTCATTTTATATGTAAAATTATATGGGAAATGTCATCGATCGTCATTTCATAGCCATCGCTGATGCCGTTTTTATACGATCATACGGTACAATATGATCGAAAAAAAAAACGCCGTCATCGATAGCTATGAAATGAAGATCGCTGTCATTTTATATGTAAAATTATATGAGGAATGTTATCGCTGTTCATTTCCAAGCTATTGGACGCTGTTTTATTTTTTCAATCATAGTGTAAAATTAGCATGAGCTAAAGTCTGCACGACTCAGGGAAGTTTTCGACAGATGACATTCACTAAACGACAAAATACGATTTAAGGCTGATTCATGGTACACCGGGCCGTACCCGAGCCGGGCACGGACGGGGCACGGACGCGCTCCGGCGAAGCTTGGCCCGTGCTCGGCTTAGCATGAATGCATACGTATAAATAACATTTGACAATATTTGGCCGTGCCTTCACCGTCGCACGGCCCCGGCCCGTCACGGTGTACCATGAATCAGCCTTTACTTGTCAATTAAAATGACAGGCATCTGCACTCTCATGTACAGACTTGGACATCGTTGGACAGACTTATATCGTTGATTGAAAAAATACGAAGATGCGCAACCTTATGGGCGATTTTTTGGCACAAAACCTGTCCGAGATGTAGCTGGCGTTTCCGTCAGCCTGTCCGAGATTTAGTTTAGCTCTTCGCCGTTGTGCACTGATAGTCGTTTACAGCGCAGCGGATAAAGAATACTGTGCCGTAGTTCTGCTTTATGCTTTCAGTCGACAGAGTGGTTGCCGGAGACAGTGTTGCCAGAACTACTGATTAATTCGTAGATTTACGGATTTTGGGTACAGTACGTTAATAATATGGATTTTTTAGTAAACAATTTAATATAATATTATATGGTTAAACAAAGAACGGCGACAGAGTTGGCTTAGAAATGAAGATCACTGTTATTTCATATATGTAAAATATTATGGTAAATGTCAAGAATCGTCATTTCCAAGCCAACTAAACGTTTTTTCGATAATACGACATAATATTCAGTACCTATAAAAGAATTTTTATTTTTGTTGCTTATTCTATGTTTGACGCGAATAAATTTTCAATACATAAACGCGGATCTTTCATCCAAAAATATTTTCGTCAGACGTATTACAGATATTACACATTTTAATATGGCAACACTGTCGTTTTCAGTTCCAAGCCGTTTTCCATATGCCTTCGGTGGCCGAATTAGAAGTTTCTAGAGAATTACAATATCTAGATATGAGATTTTGTGCATATTATTGTTTCACAATGAGATCTATCGATTAAAAATATTTTCAATATGGCGGCACTTTCGGAAGTACCGGAAGTTGACAGCAACTTTCTTATTTTAAATGGGTGATTCCATTCTTTATTACATACTTAAATTCTCTGTAAAATTTTATGAATTTTGATATTAAATACTCTATACCTAACGTTAACCGTTTTTGAGAAAAAAAAATATTTATAATTTTTGGAGGAAAAAAACTGCCTGTCAAAAATATGTATTTAGCCTAAAAGTCAAATTTAGTGATTGCGACAGCCACTGTACCATAAAGAGAAGACATGTGGCTATCTATGTCAAATATTAAATTGTCCGAATGTCATATAATAATGGCCGCAGCTGTAATGGAATTGAGCGATTAAAAATTATCATAAATCATTTTTTTTTTCAAATGGAAATCCACTTTTTTTATTTCACTCGTGAAAAGGCTCTCGTTACTTTCGTTTTTAAAATTTGTTACTTTTTGACTATACATGTTCCTGTACCTAAAATAAATCGTTTTTAAGTTATTTAAGATTTAGCTTTAAAGCGTATATTTTTCTTGATTTTAACCAGTAGCCTATGACAGTATATTATTGATCATCATTTCCAATCTAACTTTGCGCTGTTTTTTTTTCGATCGTACGGTATATTATTAAAATATCAACTATTAGATATCACTAACGAACGAAAATACGAGATATATTTATATAAATACACTTTTTAAACTTTTAAGGCAGCAATAGTTATAATATAGGAAATTCAAATCATTCATTTTCTGACAGATAGAAATAAATTGTCTGACTGTTTGACAGTTAATGTCAAAGGAAGCTAGATAAAATCAAGAAATATATACGTTTTCAAACTAAATCTTAAATAACTTAAAAACGATTTATTTTAGGTCTAGGAATATGTCTAGCTAAAACGTAACGAATTGGAAAACCTTTTCACTAGTGAAATAAAAAAAAGTGTTTAAAAAAATTATTTATAATTTTTTAATCGCTCAATTCCATGACAGCTACCGCCATTATTATATGACATTTGAACAATTTAATTTTTGATATAGATAGCCACATGTCTTTTCTTTATGTCACAGGGGCTGTGATAATCACTAAATTTTTGATTTTTAGGTTGTACAAAATTTTTTGACAGGTAGTTTTTTTCATCCATTTTCTATATTCCAATTTTAAATATTTTTTTCTTAAAAATGCTTCCAGGGAAATACCGCGACAAAATATCGCAATTTTGTAAGTCCTGCAAGATCCCAGGGGCCCCTTCGCTGTCTCAGGCCCGTGGCCCCCGTTGTACTAAAGACTTCACTGGCCATCATCAGTAATGAAGCTAGAATACAAGCTATGCTGTGCATTGGTTGTAATTTAAAATGTTTATTTAGTAAAAATAAATAATGAAACCATTGAAAAATAACTTAAGAGCTAAAATAAATAAATTCAGTCTCAAAATATATAAAAAAATAATAATTATTCGATATTTTAAACAAAGAAAATTAACTCTTTATTTAATTTCCTAAATAGAAAATGCCATTGACAATTACTGGGGCCTGATAATTAAGAATTAAGTAAATATCTGCTTCCATTTATACTGTTTATAATTGGCGTATATACGTATGGTTTGCATACTCCACCTACAAACTGCTTTATAACTACTGAACACATATTGGCCTTGTTTGCCAGTTAAATAAAAAATTACTTATTAAGATTCGGAGGCCCCCTAAAAGATGAGGCCCGGGGCGGACCGCCCCTGCCCCCCCCCCTAGTCCGCCACTGTTAGAGACAAATTGTATTTTCTGTAATTTTTTGGATGTGAAATCTTCCCTAAGTCGTTGGACAGAGTATAAGAGCATTTTCCTAAATATGGAACCCCTCAGATATACAGGGTGTTTCAAAAAACATGTTCCATCTCTCGTGGGGAGATTTCTCACGTAAAAATAGGATTTATTTTTCATATCAACGTAGGTCCGATTCTGCTTTGTTTTGTAGCTACAGGGTGTTAAAGTCTTAATATTTTTTCGATTTATTTTAATTTTCTTCCAAGTACTTTTAGCGTTTCGAATGAAATTTTGAGGGTAAATGTTACTATAAATGCGACATGTTTTAAAGCTAAAAAAGTATCGACATATTCACCAGGGACGTGTATATGGGTTATCACTGGAATATTTTTCTTTAAAAAGCATCTACGCCACTAACTTTTTTTCTCTTGTTAGCGAAATAGTGTAAGCAGTTTAATGCCGATTAAAAGTTGTTGATATTTTGTCGACTTCGGCCTCCTTGATGAGATAAACGCAATTTTATTAAATTGCCTTCTCCAAATCTGACAGACACCTTTAAAAAAAATTAATATAATTAACTTGCGAAAGTTTTAAATAAGTACTCATTAATCCTTCATTAAAAATATGAAAAAAAGTTCCTATAAACATGGGTATGAAAATGCATAGTTTTAGAGTTACAGGATGTTAAATTTTTTAAAATTAGGTTTTTAGTTATTATCGTAAATATCATTATTCTTTTATTTGAAATTGCTGTAGGTTGAGCTAATAGTAATAATAACTAATTGTAATGATATTTAAGTGGTTTTTTAGTGGTCGGCCGTAACTCCAGCGTTAAGGCCCCCACAGACGTCGTTCTTTTTCGGCAGGATTACTCGACGTGCAAAAATATTCGAGCAATCCGGTCGGTGTGTGGCTGAAAACCGTCGTGATTGCCGGCGTTCCAAATAATCTGTTTTGAACTGATTTTTCTCGTCGGTTTTGAACGTGATCGTACAAGTCGGCCCGTGTG